CCCTCCCTTGTCTCCCTCATGCCAAGAACTAAAGATTTATACTGTATCCACAAAGCAACCTGAATACTTTCCATTGTTTTCCAATGATGGTCTGTTTACATGTTTACGAACTTGAAGTTCAATTAGAAAAAAATCAAACTCCAGTGCTGAGGTTCAGAAATGCCTATAATTTGGTGTCTTTTCTTTCTCACATTGTTCTTTAATTAACAAAGAGGCATTTACAAATATGAGACAAGATGACAGGTTTACGACTTTTATTAACATTGATTTACTCCATTCCAGAAATGGAGAGGACATTGTAAGTTTCCATTTGGCATTTTGCATTGGATTTATTAAACATTTATTGCCCACTTACTGGATCCAAGCTCCTAGACTGGGGCATTGATAGATGACATGATAACTTTCACTCAACAAAGGATAAGTGTCATGCCACAAAGTAAGCACATTATTAAGACGTCTTCTTTCTATGTGGTTCAAGGAGAAAGCCATTTGGGTTTTGTTTAATCTGTGTCTGAATCTTCTATCCACCTAGTTGCTTCAAATATGCAGTTAACCATGTCCCAGCATCTACAAGCCAGCGCACCTGGTAGGCAAGTAAAAAAAATCATTTTCCTCTATCCCACTTTGAGTCTAAAGGAAGCTTAACAAACAATTGTGGGTTTTTTGCCCTTGAAATTGACCATTTGTCTTAGTGGCAAGAGAGCCAGGCTGTCTTAAACCAGCCATAGGGGGGGAAAATCCTCTGATGGAGAAGGGGAGAAACTCAAAAGGCACAATGACAAATCAGACGAGTTAGGGATTATAAAGATTGTTATTTTCCACTTGTCTCTTCTTGCACACATTTATTGCATTCAGAGACTGAGATTAGCTGGGTTGCCAGAAAACGTTGTCTGGGGCTATATGAAGGGAGCCATGTGACTGAAGGTCTTTTGATAGATACCACCTGTCTGGGGAGAATGTTTGAGTCCTGCTTTCCCCTAGAACCAGAAACTGATCTTCAAATTCTGACCCCTGCAGCAATAAAAGTGAATTTAAATGAATTGAGAGTTCGCAAGAATTCCAAGTCCAACACATTTATCCAAGTCATCTCCTTTTTTTTATCGAAATCACACATATTCCAAGTCTGGTTGCTATTTCCGGGCCAATGTAGCAAGTATAAGTATGGATGTAGAAATTATTTTTATAAGGATCATGACTGAGATCCAATTGTATCATTTGTATACTGTTTATTTGCAAATCCTGGGCAGGACACTTTGCATAGAGGACAGTGCTGTGGAAGGTGGAAGGTGAAGAGGGCCTCTGCTCCTTCAGAAAGAAGGAGACTAGCATTGGTTAATCACCAAAGGGTTTCCACGCACATATGACGTTATGTACCAGATACCTGCCTGTGCCAGGCACTCTTCTGTATCAGTGAGCAGAACAGATGGAGGTCACCGCTCTCATGGAGCTGGCATTCTAGCAAAAGCGAAAGTCCTTCTTCTTCATTTCTGGGGCCCAAGCTACTTAATTGCCAGTACACCATGGGAGGTTCATGGCAGTCTTCTCCAGAAGGAGATCAGAAGAGGAGTAATGGTGTGAAGGAAGGAAGGAAGGAAGTAGGGAAGGAGGGAGGGAGAGAAAGAAGGAGGGAGGGAGAAAGGGAAGGAGGAAGGTGAAAAGAAATGCTCATTCATCATGGTGACTAACTGGAGACTTCATAAAGAGACCCCTTGGCCAGCTCTAGATTGGCAACAAGAAAGAGATAGCTGAGCAAACCATCCATCTAGGAGACTCCCATACTTTCTCCATGAAGCCTCTGGTCCAAAGCATGAATTAGGGAATCTCCATGTTTTGCCTAAGAGTCCTGGGCCTCCCAAGAAGTTGATGTCTGTGGTCCTTCCCACGTTCTTTCAACAAAATAAGAACTCCACTGTGCCCTGCATGGAGGAGCCCAAAGAGCCTCCTATTAAGACCTCTAAATACCTTATCCTGCCCGGGAAGGAGGTTTTCTCCCTGTAGCAAAGGGGGTTCAAAATGGAATCCTGGCTCTACACTTTCAGCAGCTTGAGCTCCCCTCGCTCTACTGCTGAGCTTCTGTTTCATGTTCTATCTCAACATCTAAATCCTCCAAGAATTATTGTAAAACCTGCTTGTCGCTGAGAGGGATCTTGTCTCGCTCACTCTGCACGGTAGCCGGCGATAATGAATGGGTCAGCATAATTACCGTGTTTCCTCACACAGGCAGCCAGCTGCTCTGCCAGATTGTGAATTTTTCATTTTCTTTATTTCAAAATCCAGGGCGTTCCTATGAAAACTTAATATTTGAACTGTGGCAAGAGAGAGGTGGAGTCAAAACCACGCTCACTCATTTTCTCCCCAGTCCTGATATGGATATCTCCTATCTCATTACTTTTGGGCTCTTAGGATATTAGGATTTACCCACTTTCTCCATGAAGATTCACACCTCTCTACAACTTCAAGCACATTAGTTGAAAACACCAGCTAGGAAACGTGGGTGCTAAGGGCTAGCAAGCCGAGAGTTAAGTACAGCTGAATGGTTTGTTTCTAACAACAATTTTTAAAAAGGTTAAAAATAACCTGTACGGTTACCTCAGACACAGATGGAAAGATAAAGCCATTCTAGATTGGTTCTAAAATCCTAGCATTTTACTGGCATCGTGAGAGAAAGAGATGGTGGAATCCATGAAGTCTAGCTGTTCGCCATTCAAGAACACACGGAGAATTCCAGATGATAGCCAGGCAGTCTGTCACTTCAGGTTCAAGGGTTACATTCTGGTCCATGCAATTCCATGAGGTGGTATAGAATTGGGAAGGGCTTCTGCGGGAAACCCCACTCCCTGTCCCTCCCGCCCTCCCTTACCACCCATCATGCAACTACAAACATCCTCTGTCCAAGGACTCTGGGGGGAATGGAAAGAGATGGAGTGGAGGTTTCTACTCCTGAAGGCGATGGAAGGGAGGGGAAAGGCCCATCTTGGCAGTTTGGATGTAGAGTGGAGACAACTTTAGCACAAGATGAAATGCAACACCTTGCAACAGGTTAGGTGTTCCTCAAAATAAAGAGCGAAGTTTGGGTGTGCTGAGTTAACCAAGGTAAAGAGCTGCTCTCACTGTAGTGCCTTCGTGAACCCTTATGTTTACATCAAGCCAAAAGAAACTCTGTGTCCTTCCCAGCCTTGTATGTCATTACACAGACTGTATGGAAACGCAGGAGAGATGGAGCAGTGGAGGGAGGGCTGTGGATGGGGAGGAAACCCATCCCATCCTGGTTCATTCCACCTGTCTCCCTCTCTCTGGGAATCCTCAAAGCCCCTGCTGGGTAAGCGACATGAGAGAAGAAAATGGAGCAAGGAGAGAAGGTTTACTGGATAGCCTGTCAAACATTTGGCCTGACCACAGCCCACAACTTCATGCCCTTGTCCATGTGTTTAAGCCATCCTTACATTCATTCCAGTGTGCAATATTTAGAACTTACTGTGGAAAAAGCGGGGCTTCTGCTGACTTGGGGAGGCACAGGGAGATGCAAAGACAAATGGGATATGGAGGGAGCCTCAAGGAACTTGCAGACTAATTGGAGAGAGAAAACTTTACAAATGACTGACTCGCCTCTTCTCCAAACCCAGGCCCCATGAGAGGTTGGGTGTTCTGCAAAATAAAGGGTTGCTGGAAAAATGAAGTTTGAGTGTGCTGGGTTATCCACCTTAGAGCACTTCCCTCATGGTGGGGCTTTCTGAGTCGTTAATTCAGATCTCTTGGGATAGCGGTTTCCCAAATGTGTTTTCCCAGACAAGCATCCCCTCCCTGGGATGCAGTTTGGGCATCACTGCCTGCTGCTTAGTGGGATGAGACGAGCAAGGTCAGCGTAGTGAGAGCACTGTGAGATGTGGAGAAGGGGAAGCAGCCGGAAGACAGAAGCGGTTTCCTGAAGGCTTCATGGGTTAGGATCTGCCTGTGATGAGAGAAGGAGGTCCTAGGCAGAGGCAACAGAATTCATTATCAGGCGTCTCAAGCATCAGGCTTGATTTCCCTCTAGCCTCCTCACCTAGTCATCCTGCTCAGAGAATTTTCCCCCAGGGAAGAAAACCCTGCCCACACCCTCTTCAGAGTTGAGTTCCCAAACTTCTCTGTTTCTGTTTGTGGTTGTTGTATGTGTTTTAAAAACTGTATCAACCGTTAAGAGGCTGATGGGACGTTGGTAATGATTTGTTTCCTGGAGCATGAGGGGTTCGTATGCTTAGGATGTATATATGTGTCTGTAGGAACACAGTACTTCGGTTAACGATTTTTAACAAGCAATATATGTACACAAAGGAAAATGTGGAAAATAAATAAAAACTAGATAGGGAAAAGCTATAAATAGACAACTAACACTTACTCATGCAGTTCAGCACCACAGACAACTATGAACATAGAACTATGTGTGTATATGTATATACAATTATATGCATACGTACATACACATGCAATATAAATATGCATAGATACACATATCTAAATACACATATGCAGGTATACATGCATATACACATGCACAGTATATATACATGTATATACATACAGACTTAAGTATGTTCTGTGCTCAGACACATATATAAATATATATTAGACACAATAGATATGTGAGCGCATATGTATGTCTGCAGATAGGTAGATGATAGATAACAGACAAGACAGTTTGGGAACACACTGCACATACACGTTGCAATGCACCTTTTTAGAAATTTAAGTTTGTGCAGTGAGCTTTTCTCCTGTTACTAAGAATTCTTTGTGAATGTCATTTACTATATTCTCTCGGGCACAGGGACCACTGTCTTAACTAGCCCGTATGCTCTGGAATCAGACCTTGGCCTCCGCCCTACCGCCCACCTTTAGAACCTTGACTCCAGCATGGGGGCAGGTGTCCAGCCTTGGCCAGCAGGGAGAAGGGTTGAATCGGGGGTTCCCTCAATGGCAGGCGTGCGTCTCAAAGCCTTTTTCTGCTCTCTCCTCTCGTCCCGCAGTGCCAGGCTTCCCGTATCCAGCTGCCACCGCCGCGGCCGCCTACCGAGGGGCGCACCTGCGAGGCCGCGGCCGCACCGTGTACAACACCTTCCGGGCCGCGGCGCCGCCGCCCCCAATCCCGGCCTACGGCGGGTAAGCGGGGCAGCCTCCCGGGCGGGCCTCCCTGCACCAGGCCCCTCCTGTCTGCGAGCGCATGCTGGTCTTGACTGTCCCACCATAACCGCCCCAGCATGCAGCCCGGCGCGCGCCTGCAGTGGAGCACCTTGCAAAGAGTATTGAAAAATGAGTGTAATTTGTCCTGTCATGGTTGGTGCCTTTAAGCATTCTACATGTCACATGTTGTTATGTAAATTCTCTTTGAGACTGAATGCTGGAGAACAGAGAAACGGTTACAGCCAAAGATGTATTTCGGATGATTGCAAACATCTGGTTATTAAGGAGGTTGGATCACATTTGCCCCTTGAATCTGTCCGTGGAGGGACCTGAGGTTTTCAAACATAAAACTCGCTGAGGTGGTCTTGTTCCCCACCCCAAAGACACTTTGCGCTTCAAGGTTTATGAACCTTTGGCTGAGAAGAGAAAATTAGGTGTGGAGTCAAATGCAAACTCTTAAAGTTCAATGAAATTGGAATTAAGACCGTTTTAGTTGGATTTTCCAAAATGGCATTTGCCTTCCTTTCCCCTCTGAAGGAAAATGCAAATTGATTCGTTCCCCGTTGCCAGTTCGGTCTTACTGTGCATGGCCTTTGGCATTGCCAAGTGAATATCAAGGAATGGTGGTGAATGCTCAAAATTATTTTTTGAAATGATACTGGTGTGGGTGGGCTGCAATCCTGAAATGCTACCCTTTCTGCCTTCCTGTTAGGGATCCTTCTAGAACATTCTGGCATCCCTGGAGTCAGGAAGAGAGGGATGTCTCTAAGGCAATGGACTTCAGGGGACATTTGGAATGTCTGGAGACATTTTTGGTTGTCACAACAGGAGCAGGAAGGGGTGATGGCATCTAGTCGGTAAAGGCCAGGGATGCTGCTAAACAGCTACACTGCACAGGACAGCCCCTCCTCCCGCCCCAACACAGAGTTCTCGGGTCCCAAATGTCAACAGTGCTGCTCTAAGGATATCTCAGCTGTGCCCGCGACAATCTGGCCCAAGGCTTCACTGGCCAATGACTGGCTTTCTGGTCTGTAGAGAGAATATAGCTCTATTCAGGACTATGTGAAAAGGGTTAAATGCATTTTTTATAGCCCCGTTGTTTATAAATCTTTTAGAAAGCCTGAATTAGCCTAGATCATCTCTCTATTATGCTGATGACAAAGGGAAACTCTCTTCTTTCATTATTTATTCATATCTCACCCATTCCAAAGAAAGCATTTGAAGTGTTTCAAAAACAAATGTAATGAGACAAAGTTAAGAATATAAAGAAATGAAACTAGGTGAAATCATCAGAAAGGGATTATATAGGCAGAGAAAGAAGAAAACGTCCATCGTTTCTTGTGTCATCATTAGACTTGAGTCAGTTCTGAGCTTCTTAGGGGACAACAGCAAAAAAAAAAATTTACGGGAAATATGATGGATAAAAATAAACCAAGGATGAATTGGCCCTAAATTCTTCCCACCCTCCAAAATAATGCATCTGCATGTCGTAAGCCTTATATATCTATCATACGATATGAGAAATCATTGACACTGTGATCATTGTCTCCAGTCCCACAGTATTAAGCCCATTTTATAGATCCAGAAATGCAGAAATAAAGATTTGTTATTCCCAAGGTCACATAATGAGTTATGAAGGGGGGAAAAAAAAAACAAGTTACCCTCTAGGCTCATGTAATGACTAAAGCAAGATTCATAAGCCATAAATGCAAAATTGCATGTTTATACCACATTAGTTTGTCTGAAAATCATTATCTCATCTTAGTGGATGGTAATTGTAGCTTTTCCGTCTTTGTACCCTCAGTATCTCACTACTATATTGAACAGAAAAAAATAAAGTAAAATTATATGGCTTATCCTCACATGAACAATTTATAAAAATCTCAGAATCACACACCTGCTGTAAAATTGAAATTTGCTAACTTATAATGAACTTGCTCTTTGCCGGGAATAACCATGCATAACTAATTAATGCCACGTTCACCAGGGAGAGACCCCCGCCATCTCCAAATGGTGAAACAGTGTGTTTGTGACTGCTTCGGACGTGATTTAATTTTAATATTCCAGCGATATTCTGAATCATTTTGGTTATAATAGTGGATCGTGCCTCTTTGCTGACAATATTGTGACTGGAATTCTGAAACCACACTTAGTAGTAAGATAAAATTCTCAAGACGGGAGAAGGAGGAGGGGTGTGTGTCCATGTCCTCAGGTTCTCTGAGGGCAATGTGCTGGTCAAAAATGCAGCTAGTTTGCCCAGGTGTTTGGCTGGATTACCAACTGGCTGGACTGCATGGGCACCAAATGAAAAAGCGTGCACCCAGCATCTTAAATGAAGGTTTCCCTGTTCCTCTGGATTATTTGTCTTAGGCTAAAGGAGACCACAGGAGTACAGCTCACTTGGAAAGGACAAGAGCAGAGACTGGCCAGAGGAGGGCCCTGAGCTTGTGTTGAGTGGAAGCAAGTAGCAAAGAGGTTGGAAATCCACTCTTGTTTCCAGGAAGTGACATTCTCAGGATTCAGGTGGTCCAGGAGGTCTTGCAGATTTCCTGTAATCTTTTGTCTCCAAAGTCCTTTGGGGAAAGATTTCTAGATTTGACTAACGTCTTTACTCCAGTCTGCTTCAGCTTAATGCCCATTGACCTAGCATCTATTGTGTTCCATGCACTGTTGTACACTGAGGATGCTGAAGCAAATGGTACCTTCAGAGGTGTTTCTTCCAATTGGGGGCAGGGGGGGCCACATAAGCTGACAATTTCAATAAATGTGGGAAGCATGGTAAGCGATAAGTTACGGTGTCGTGTGAGTGCCAAGAAAGGACTGTTAGCCCAGCTTAGATGTTTAGAGACGGCTTCCAGGAAGAGAAGTATAGGACACATTTAAGTCCAATAATTTCCTAAATTGCCCTGTTCTGTCTCACACTCAGCAATCTCCATATTTTCTACTTAGCAAACTGCATTTATTAAGGAAGAATTTATTTTTCCCACTGTCCCCAGTTGAAGACATGTCTAACTGCCAACCTAAACCTCTGTTCTTCGTGAAGTATCCAAGATGGATATACTTAGTTACAAAAATCCCAAGCAAAATGTATCATTCATTCTGTGCCCATGTATGGCTTCCATATTTTATTTTTCTGGGAGATTGAAATAAAAAATCCCACAGGATCTCTGTGGCTACCTTTGTGAAGCCTTGGAGGACCCTTCGAGGAATCCAACATCAAGATAGTCGTACAGGAGGACTCACCAAGAAGGCCCTTACATTCATCCATTTCCTTTTATTGATTTGGTTTTCTCCTCTACATCCTGATATTTTCTGAAGACCCTCCTAGCAACTATAGAAAATAGGTTATGGAGAGGCCCTATCTTCTTCTTTCTCATGTAGTTAAATCGAAACTTCTTAGGATATTAGTGCATGAACATTCCTGGGAAGTGTGTCGGGGGGCTCTTCTCTGGGACCACGGAGGGCCCTAGGAATGAGTGAAAAACCCTAGACTGAGCCAGCCAACTCCCTATTGATTGCCAGCCTTAAGTGAGAATGAGTGATGAGTTAGAAAGCTAGTGTCTACACAGTCCGCAGGATTGTTACAGTTCTATAAAGACATGGACTTCGGGGCAGAAAAGATTGCCTCACTATTCTATTTCACACTACCCTGGGTAGCTGACTTAATCTCTTCAGATACAGTTACCATAACAGGAAAGTGAAGGTTAACTTGTAGAGTTGATAGAGGATGAAATAGGGAGAACCATACTAAGGTGACAACTTAGTAACGTCTACCCTGTGACTTGTGTTTAGTGACTTGTAGCTACTGTTGTTGAGGTTGATGTAATCATTGACCTTAGCTGCCTATACTCTTCTCTTGGTCCAGGTCCCCTTTGCTTGTACTGAGTACACAGGCAGATCCTACATCTCTCCTTCTCCCTCCATGCATCACTTATCCCTTTTCTGTGGGGCACCTGCAGGTCACAGACCTCCCTTCACCACAAGCCACAGCAATGGCTTTGGACAGAGGCGCTTCAATAGTTTATGGGATATGTAGATCATAAATAAAATATGAAGTGGTGAACAGTCTTAGAGAAAGCTGAATGGACTAGGTTTTCCATTTTTCTCCTCGCATTTGATCCTGGTTTCAGTTTCCATAGAGAAGCCACAATGGCCAGTCTGTCTTCCTATGACTCATGTTTGGGAGAAATGACCCATTGGGTAATTGCCATCCAAGGGAGCTTGCGGGCTGATGTCTGCGGATGAAGAAGGCAGGTAGAAGCATTGGAGACACGCCCACTAGACTCAATACAACATCTCGTGTTAGAAGACGGCAACTAAACCCCTGTGCCCTCCCAGAAGAATCCCAAGAGATTGGCCTCACCAAGTTCTTGTTCTTAATTAATTAGTTAATAAATTATTAGACAACTACTTATCAACTGCCTACTGTGTACCATGCATATTGTATGGGGATACAGTATGGTGCTCTAATGGAGCACCATAAGAGATTATTAAAATTATAAATGACTCTAAGGTAAGCATCCAACATCTGCTATAGGGTTTTGGTCTTGCTTCTCGAGGGTATCTTTGAGTTCTGCACTTTCTCAGGTAATTAATTATGACACATCTATTCAACTTCTTAGAGTTACCTTGAGAAGTATTTTGGGAGACTCTATGCTACCTTGCGTATAGGAGAAATATGGTGGTGTTCCAGGAGAAAACTTCTTAAAGTTGGCCAGTGCAGGAATGAAACCCATACATAGATCCTGTGGGACGGCTCACAGGTTAGGTCCTAAAAAAGCCTCTGACACCAGGACTGTGTGTGTACCTTTCCATCTATAAATCAACCACGCCTTTGGGTTTTAATTTATAAATGTCTAATCCGCAGATTGTGTTATTTGATGCTTAGGAACTTTCTCATTTAATATAAACACTAGGGATTAAAGTCATCATCACGTATTCTCAGAATACTTCCCAGAATTCTCTCTAGCTTTTTATTT